CAGCGGGAAGACTGGGCAGCTAGTAGTCGGTCTTTCTATACGACCAAGTGTTTCAAATAGCCCCTATTGAAGATGCAATAGTCATCAGCTTTAAGTGGCAATGTGAGGATGAAAGTTAAAATACTGGGGCTTAATTCGGATCAGTGAACCGGTGGCAGTTCACCTACGGGAGTTGGCAGAAATTACCCATTGCCAACCGACCGAGATGAGGTGAACGAACCATACAAGTTCCCGGTTGCGTCAGTGAGCACCGGCTTGATCGGGGACCGAGGTCTATTCGATGCTTGACCCCATCCAAAGAGCGTATGATCCGATGAACTGGACACCGCTTCCCCCTCACCCACCCACCCACCCCTATGGAATGCAGTATTTTCACATCGCCTCGCTATCAGGTGAATCAGTTTTTGGTTATCCGAAAGCCACGATTGTAAACCTCCCAAGACAAATGACACTGGCTGCCCTAGGCAACCCGGAAANACTGCGACCACTAGCAAATCACGAACATCTTTCTGAGGTGTAACTTGGTCAGCATAGTTCGGCAGTCAGACACACGTCAACTTCTAAATTGTTCTAATCAAGTCTCCTCATACGTTCACTTCTCTCTCTCTCTAATCAAGATTTGTAATTCCTCGTCCAGAAATATTCATCTTATACTGTGCTGTTGATCGGTATGCGCAAATGAAGGAAATGCGCTACCGAATGGACCATTTTTTCACCTTTTTGGTACCGATTTGTCGTTCACACCTGTGCAGCAAACTGTCTAATGATGAGACACGGGATTTGTTCTTGTTTGGGAATCACTCGCTCGCTCGATCAGACATACACAAAAGAGTAGACCAACAGGACAGAGAGAGTATGGCGCATCGATTTCAGAGGATTATTAAAAGAAGAAAAAAGAATGGTATCTGAGTGATTAGACCAAATTCTCCACGAGCACGTGATCAGTGTTGTGGATGTTCTAACATGCATGTCCGATCCTCTTCTATTCAGCTAATCTTATACGGATACGTTCTTCTTAAATATGCATTCTAGCCACAAATATCATGAATCCGCAAAACAGTGCCAGGACGAGGAGAGTTGTTGATTATAAAAAAACGGCAAAGGTATTGATAAATTGGCATAAATAAAACTAAACGTCTCATAGTTCGCACAAGCATGCGGGATAATTGACGGAACGGTCCGACACTAGATGTGCATTTTCCGCAGTTACAAAAGGAAAACCTCTAATCCACTCACGAATTCCAATCACCGCTTTCTTGATGCGAGTGAACTGCTCACAAGTGTGAATAGTACCTCAAAAAAAACACAAATATCTCGTTGACACATGTAGAGATTAGTTGAAAATGTTCTTCGTGAAATGAATCCTGGAGTAAATTGTGATTCGAATGCTACTAACCTAAACAGATTGGCTTTGTGGTGCTGCTGTTGGTGATCAGTGATTTAAACAATGGAATGCAATACGGATAGACTGGAGGGATTGAACAGGCGAGACTCTGTGCACATCCGTTTTGCAGAATCACTTCTGTGTTTAGATTTCGGTCTGGTCACATGATGCTGACTGACATGAATGTTGTTGTGCACTTACTTTTCGATGAATCTTTTCTAGAACTTATATCTTCCATACATATGCCAATAGATGGATAGACGAGATCTGCTACGTAATTGCCGACTCGACGGGGAATCGAATCTAATGTATCAGTGAACGAAATGGCGCTGGAGAGGAGCAGAGAAACAGAAGTGCGGAAAGTCGAGATACAGTTAGTGTCAAAGTATTGTTGTGTTACACCTTACCCGAGTTCGTCAGGGTTGCCCTCTCTCTCTCCTTTTCTATTTAATCTCGTGATAGATTTGATTATGGAAACAGCCCTATCCTCGTGCGAGGATAGCGATATCNTGGCAGACTGTCTGATCTAGAGTATGCAGACGACATTCTATTGCTAAATAAAGATCCAGATAAGTTGCAAGCATTTTTTGGATAGCTTGAATGCCAGTTTAGCCATATTCGGTATGCGTTTTGCACCTTTAAAGTGTTACTCCAAGACTGCGTTGGTCCAGCACTCAGCCTCGCTCTAACGGTGCAAGTAATAGAACGAGTGAATCATTTTTTTTTTATTTGGGCAGCTACATTTCATCCGGTGGATGCATCACGAATGAAGTGTCAGCTCGCATACAGAAGGTTTGATTAGCATTTGCCGACTTCATTTTCATTTTCATTGTACTTCCTTTTATNGAAAGGGGAAAGTGGTCAATTCTTTTCTTCTTCTTTTCTTTTATCTTTTTTAGATTTTACTTCCTTTTATTAAACATGCAATGGTACAATTAAGGGGCTGCTATACAACACATAATGGGTAAAGACATTTGTGGCTCCGTCGCGACATCCGATGGTCTATTAAAGATCGAGTGTATGCTGCGGCAGTTTGGACAGTTAAGCTATACGGTGCAGAAACTTGGCCATTGAAAAAAATAGGATAAAGACAGACTGTCGATGTTTGAACACCGCTGTCTACGCGGCATTGCACGAATCTAATGGAGCAGCCGGACGAGTAATGCTGAGGTTAGGCGCAGAGTTTTAGGTAATCGCGGTCGTCCACTGGAGCAAGTGGTAGACCTCCATAGATTACGTTAGTTGGGGCATGTGTTACGCATGTCATCAAATAGTTTGCCACGGCGAGCGATGTGGTGGTGTAGTGGTTGGAAACATATCCAAGGGGATCAAACGAAGACCTGGCACGAGGGTATGAAAACCCTAACCGGGAGACTGAGTCACTCAGGTCCAATTAGGCTCCTTCGATGGGGACCTCGGAATGATCGTAACCGATGGTTAGAGGTACGGAGTGATATGGCTGAGTGTTGTACACAGTGGTGTTCGTGCATCTTCTCAATTTCCTTGCAATTCTCAATCCATTGAAACTCTTCATTTTCTAATCGTTTCCACTTTTCACTTTTCGGTCTTTTTCCTACTTTCATCCAAATGGACAGCCAAAAGACAGCAACCAAAACCGGTGCGCGAAAGTGTATAGTTAATGGTTGTACAAACTGAAAACTGGAAACAGACTGTAGTATGTAGACGAGATTGAACTGCTAAATGAAGATCCAAGCAAATTGCAAGCTTTTCTAGGCAGTTTTATTGCTCGTGTAGCCACCATATTCGGCATGCGTTTTGTACCTTCAAATTGTGAGGGGATGATAGAAAACTGAGCTATCCCTGCCCTCAATCTTGCTTTGATTAGGGAAGTGGTAGACGAAAGGGAAAAATTTCGTAAAAAGTACTGTAACGGTCGTGGACTTCTTATGGGTAGGTTAGTGGGGTAGAATCCACGCGGTCGATCCCTACGAGGATAGAAAGCTCGCTGTCTTCATGCTAGCAACAGGGGGGGGGAAATCTCCACATTTTTGGGGCCATGTCAGAGCATGGTCTGAGTGATTATACACTGAAGCGTGGATTCTTTACCAAGGAAACGTGCCAGGCTTGGTAACGTGGTGTTCTGGACAATCGTCCTCATAATCAAAGGAGAAACACTGTGGTCGTGTGCGATAACGCACAGATTTGGAAGAAGTGTTCATGGAACCAGAATACATCTGCGGTAGGCTCCTACGGCTTGCACCATACTCACTTTCACTGAACCCAACTGAACGTGCATGGATCAAACAGAGAGAGAGAGAGAGAGAGTGAGTGAGACAAAGGATGCATGAGCAGTATAGTGTATTACTTACGGGTGACCATTCTGGCGTGGTGTCAATACGCGAATGGAGCAAGCAATGCCTGGAAAAAGTCTGCCGTGAAGCGGAGGTTCTTATGACAGCAGTATGTCACAAAAATCTCATGAGACACGTCACAGATTTGTACCCGAAAGTCATCCAGCTGGAAGATTTATGATTATTTCCATTAAAATAAACATTTTTGCTGTTCCTTTTCTGTTTTTGTTTCGTAATTATCATGCGGATTGTGTTTACATTGTCCAAACAAGTGCGGGAAGACTAAAGTTCATAGTGTTATCTACTAGGGTGAACGAACTGATTTTCTGTTGTTAGTCGTGACAGCTCTGGTCAGGTTCTTTAGAGATGCGTCACATTAATTACCCGCACCAAAAGCTGCGCCGTATTTTTCTATACAGGCAACAGAATGGAATATATATTGAACGATTTATAAAATAAATATGCATTTCAATAGCGTTTTTTTTCTCCTACGGAATTCAATGTCCGACCTAGTCAGCAAGGTCCTTCCAAGTGGAAAAAAGCCAGTTGGGAAAATGTCAAGAAGCGTTTTGCGTTGGCCTATATCAACGAATATTGTAGTCCATAGTTGGGACAAATTCAAAGTTTTATCATGCTTATCTGTTTACCGAACACGCTTAGAAAATCAGTTCGTGTATCTTGGACAAATCAAACGCTGACCCAGTGTCATCATCGATTGAGCATTTTCTATTCCGAATTTTCCACGTGGCGCACGGTTACACAACTGGCTCTCCTCTGATGATTCTCTACCAATACTTAAGCAGAACCGGATTCAAAACTTATCCTCCTCCTCCTCCTATGCTGGCCCGAAAATCACACGACCAATCGGATTCGTTTATCGATCGGTCGGATTGTTCAGCCACAACAAGGGACCTGGTGTTTGCCTCTTTTCCGTAGTATATAATATCAGTCGTACACATTTTGCACAAGACTCCATTGCTGTCCCAGTTGTCACGCGGCTGAACCTAACTCACGGTCTTTTTCAGTGCTGTGGTGAGCACTGTTCAGTTTATAGCTCGTTTGCCTGGCCAAGTGCAAAATGAGGTCATCGTGTGAGAGACCCCAACAAATCTTAAAGCGCTTCTTTTTGTTTCGTATTCAACCAAGCCCTCGTCGGTTTGCACATGGTGGCATAGCTCTGACTGAATTGTGGGTCGCATTGTCCAGTCTGTCAGGAAAGATCGTAGTCGGTGCATATTTTTGTTGAGAGTGGGAGGCCGTAGATCAGTATACAGGTAGGACACGCATGGATCTGGATAAACGGTGGTCCCATAGAACGTTTTCACCCTGTACTGTGCAAGATACTATCCACATAGAAACATCTTAAATTGAAAAAGGTATAGTTTACTTGCAGTTGCGGTAACGCACACATAGGCAACACAAACCGTCAACTCTCACAACGGGTGGCCGAACATATCCCAAAGGAATAGGGAAAATGCGATGACGCAACCGATAATTGATGGTCAAGTGATTAGAGGAAATCCAGGGTCATTTGTGGCAAAACATGTCATGACAACAAGACACAGTTGACCCCAATTCGTCTGTAAAACCACTATTGCACAATGGCAACGCTAAACTTTTGGCAGTTAGTGGAGCACTGCTTAGTTGATTACATCATCCGACTTGATACTTGCACACGTTCATTCACCATAATTGAACAACCTCATGTGCTATCTATATAAGAGCCTGTCTGTTTCACGTCAGTGATTGAGAAGATGAAACGAAATGTAAACATCTCGCGACATTTGGCCTCTTCTTTCTACATTGATGAAAAGGTCTGATTGGTGCTGGATCACATGTGCCACATCACAGCAACGTCGAACAATGGAGACATCGAATAGGAGCGGGACAGTTGCCGGGCAAAATCCCCCGAAATCGACGGCTGTTGATGAGTAATTCGAATGTCAATAGATCAGTGTGCTATCGGTGTGACCTCGTCGTAGCTCAGCTGGTAGAGCGTGTACTGTACAAAAGCGTAGGCGGCGTCCAGGCGTGGGTTCGAATCCCACCGACGCTACAATCACAATCACCATACAAACTTCAAATCGGCCAAACAACAATTCGAATTACCGCTGTTTGTGCAAAACAACTGAAACAGTCAGTCTGAGCCTGGTCTATTCACAACTAGACATCAATTTGTTGACCGTGTCTCACCTAGTCCATAGTTTTTTGGAACGAGTCAGATAGCAAATAGTTCTGCTCCTAGACATGGAATTTGTTGCTTTCTCCAGTGATCGCCCTAGTGAAGAGTATTGCAATAAAGATGAGCACGAGGTTGGGCAAAAAGAAACAGATATATACCGTGCACGAATGCAACTGCACACGTTCACATGCACCGAGAGAGGAAACTGTGGGCGAAGAACAACCTACCGGATAATTCCAAAGTGATCGAAATAGCCACCCCGCCCCTCGGTACCAAACGGTTCCTTGAACGAAATAGTCACATTCGCGATGTGTTCCTTGTTCCAAACGGGGCCCAAAATTTGGTTGGTAAATCTGAAGTCGTACACGATAAAGCGATTGGATAAAGA